TTAGATCTCAACAAACATTTGTGATTCGAGTCTTCCAGGAGAACATACATGTGGCATCTTTCTTGCTTAATTGTATGTTACAGAAGTTGTCAGTTTAGAAGACTGTGAGATGGCCAATGCTTACATTCAGATAATAATGTTATAGTCACCTTGATTAAAATGTATAGTCTTTTATATGCTCGTATCTTTCCTGATCGAAATTTTATTCTAATTTTGTTGTTTTGATTTATGTAAGTTTTTAAAAATTAGTGAGAATTTTTAGAATTTGGTGTGAAGATGATCAATTTGTTACAGAAGTCAATTAAAAAATGTAATAAGGATAAATTGCCTTCAGGTTTTACAACTGCTGTATTTAAGATCTAAATTTGAACTAGCTAATGGATCACTTAATTATCGGTCAACATCATTTTAATTACTTGCAATGAAACACGTAACGATATATATGCACTGAATGCTTCCTTTTGGAAAATGCATCACTCCTCATTATCGGGTAGAAGCCAGCCCTCTTGAGAAGATTTAGACTGTCCAGTCTAAACTACCAGAGCTTACCTCCTCTTTCCCTTCAGATTACTACTCGGATGTCACCTAATCAGAGGCTTTTCTTGACTAGGCAGCAAAAAATAGCAACTTTCTCAACCTGGGCTCAATCCCCCAAACTCCCTGCCCCCTCTTTCATATTTAACGTCTCTCTGTTGTGTTTATCACCATCTCATATATAAGTTAACCTTTTTGTTTTTACCTGTTGTTTTTGTTGTAGTTCAGTTTTAGTTTCCGCTGAAACCTAAATTACACGAGGCTGAGAAGGAACGCCATCAGTTTCACCTACCACCGCGCCCCCTGTGCCCGGAACAGCCTGGCTGCTTGGTGCATATTTGAATGAATAAAACAAAAATGGATAAACATTAGCACATTCTTAATCTAATGGAAACTTTAGACGTAACAATTACTCCAGTTAAATGCAGAACTTACGTCAGAAGTTGATACAAATTTAGACTGAGTCAGAAGCTAGGAAATCAAGGTTTTATATGTGTGCTCACTGGCAGCTAAATTGAATAGTACATTTTTAAACAATTAATGTGAAATCCTTCACTGTAGATTCTCACTTTGTGAACGGATACCTTTAAAATACATTTTATGTTCATCTTTTCATTCTTCTACATTTAAATTTCTGGGGAATATCTTCATACACACACGCCGTACTTCCCAGAGGCACTTGTGGCATAACTAAGAAAAATAAGAAATCTAACAATGTTTTACAAGGATGGATGTGCTCATTTTAGCTTCAGGTTTGGACACACTTGAGTGGTGAGATAATGAATAATAACTCATTTCCCCAGTATCACTGGGGACCTCACTCCACTTGAGTGACTTTTCAGGAAAACTAGTTCATTCCTTCTCTTGCTAGTTTCTTTTTCTGTTTATGAACTAGAAGCCATTCTAGAATATACAGTGTAATTCTCCGTCCTGAGCACATGGAAACAGTCCTGAGCACATGGAAACATTTGTTGGGGGTTTAAGAGTATCTCTCTAAAAATTGGGTGTTGTGCAGTGTTGTAACTCAGCATCGTGCTTCAAGACTCTTTGAATTTGTCACATTGAATTATTGTTGCTTTTGTTGTCTGTCTTTCTTTCTTTCTTTCTTTCTTTCTTTCTTTCTTTCTTTCTTTCTTTCTTTCCTTCTTTCTTTCCTTCTTTCTTCCTTTCTTCCTTCCTTCCTTTCATCATACAAATGTTCTTAGAATGCGTGCCAGGTGTCAGGTCTGTTCAGATCCCTGGAAAGTAGGCACTAAGGAAACTATCAAAAATTTTATTTCCATAGAGCTTCCAATCTAGTGAGAGAGAAAAGGAACCAAACAATTGAATGAGTGAAAACATAATGTGTCAGGTGGCACTCAATGCTGTGAAGGAAAATAAAGCAGGCAGTGGGTACGGAGAGTGAGGGCAGCGCCGTACTCATGCTGCTCAAGAGGACTTGGAGAGCTTGTCCAATGGAGCAGAGCCGGGGGAGGAGAGGGACAAGCCTTGTGGTGGCTGGAAGAGTAACAGCGGAGACCGCAGCAGGAGAGGTCTGTTGTTGCGGTTAGAAGAAAAGGGTGGCTGGATGGCAAAGGGCAAGGATGCTGGAAAGAGAGGTGACCAGTGCATTGGCCACTGTGGGCCATTGGAGAGCTTCCGACTTCATTCCGAAGTCTGATTGGGAGCAAGAATTGAAGTATATTTTACACACAGGAGCCACCTTCCCATCGGTATTTTTTTCTTCAGATACCATAGGTTTTTGTTTTGTTTTGTTTTTAATTGAAGTACAGTTGGTTTAAATGTTGTGTTAACTTCTGGTGTACAGCATAGTGATTCAGTTATACATATATACATTCTTTTTCATTGTATACTATTAAAAAGCAATGAATATAGTTCCCTGTGAAAAACTAAAAATGGAGTTACCATATGATCAAGAAATCCCATTCCTGGGCATATATCTGGAGGAAGCTCTAATTCAAAAAACACATGCATCCCAATGTTAACAGCACTATTTACAATAGCCAGGGTATGGATGTAACCTATGTCCATTGACAGATGACTGGTTAAAGAAGCTGTGGTATATTTATACAATGGAATACTACTCAGCCATAAAAAAACTAATGTCATCAGCAGCAACACGGATGGACCTGGAGATTGTCATACCAAGTGAAGTAAGCCAGAAAGAGAAAGAAAAATACCATATGAGATCGCTAATATATAGAACCTTAAAAAAGTCCACCTGTATTTTTTTAAACCATCCCTTTGGCTGCTGTGTGCAGGAGGATGATTCAGCCTTTCACAACAGTGGTCGTTGATGGCTGCTTGGACCAGGTGTTGTGAGGTGGTCAGATTTGGGATGTTCCAATACGAGGGGATATGACCCTTGATACAGTCTCCCAAAGAGCAAGAGGAGACTGAGAAGAGATCCAAGCGTTAACATGAAGACATCAGGAAAATGAGAAAGGTTCATCAAGGTGGAAGAGGAGAGTCAGCAGTAGTGAGGGAGGAGCGGGAAAAAGCTAAGGGCAGTGTAGAAGCCAAGTGATGAATAGCGTTGAGGAGTCACCTGGTTCCAGTGCAGCTGATGGTCAGGTATGAGGGAGGCTGGTGAATTTTTCAGACAGCAGTGCTTTTCTGTTGGTGCTTATCTTGTGCTCTCTTGTCCGCACACCTATTTCCTAATCTCTCCATTTGGACATTATTCCTCCTGGTCTTCCCTCCTCTGATCTCAGTGTTTCCAATCAATGTTTTCCACTCTATCCCTATAATGAAAACATAATTGAAGATCTTTAGGAGGTGCTCAATTCCAAAGCTTGTTCAGTAAACAACCACAGCTTTATCCCTGCTTCTGAGATAGCAGACCTGCCTTGAAGCCCTTCAGAAGAAAGCACTTCATTGGAGTTGTAGCTCTTGAAAATCAGAAGACTGTTTAACTATATGTAAAATAGATAAACAACAAGTTCCTTCTGTACAGCACAGGGAACTCTATTCAATACCTTGTAATGGCCTATAATGAGAAAGAATATGAAAAGGAATACATATATGTATAACTGAATCACTATGCTGTACTCCAGAAATTAACACAGTATCGTAAGTTGACTAGACTTCAATAAAAAAGGAAGGCAGGCGGGCAGGCAAGCAGGAAGGGAAGGAGAAAGGTTGTTTAAACTGTCCCTATGTCAGAATGAGCATGGCTGAGTTACTCAGTTCTGGTCATTTGCTAGATGTTGTATCATAGATTTTAAAATGTTTACTATGTTCAAAAATTATTTTAACCAAAACCCACCAATGATTACTTGAAGGTCTTTACTGAATCTCTCTCTCTGTCTCTTCTTTTCAGAAAAATGTGATGAGCCCCTGGTGTCTGGCCTCCCCCACGTCGCCTTCAGCAGCTCATCCTCCATGTCTGGGAGCTACTCTCCTGGCTACGCCAAGATCAACAAGCGAGGGGGTAAGGCAACTTTTATTTCATTTCTCGACACGTGTTAAATGAAACATGTTATATTTGCAGCTCCATTTCTAAAGCATATTTTATCGTATGGCAGCCATTAGCTGACACCCCAAATCATTTGCCCCAATTCTGTTAACAGAGCCATGGATACTTACCATCAGCTTGTAGCTACGACTGGGGAGTGATAAGGGAAAATTTAGGCTGGATGTAAGAGATGCTAAGTTAAAGAGGAAAAATTTTTGGAGTTGCATATGAGAATGAATTCACAGTGACATAAATTGGTATATGGTGTGGGGTTGCATATAAGTCCCACCCCCATTTCATCATCCCATCCAGTACTGTCTCCCTAACGGTTTGGGACTGTCACACAGCTGGCCACATCTCCACTCCTCATGCTGCTCTGCCCCTGCTGGTACATACAAGACACCCATGTGCAGGGCTAGCTTAACCCTGGTTGACAACCTCAGTACAGGTCAAGGTGGCAAGCATCAGAGGGGAGGGCTATTTCCTCTACAGAAAAAAATAAAAATAAAAATAAATCCACATATGGTTATTTCAATAAAAAACAAAGCCTTTTATTCCATTATGAAGTTTATATGCAAATGCCCTTGGGAGAGGAGCCACGTTGGCTGAAATTCATGCTAAGGTTATGAATGACTAATGGCCAGCATTGATAGAGAATCGTTTTGTTTTCAGTGCAGCACAAAAATATGTATCTTAAAAACAAAGACAGGGGAGAATTCCAAAGTGAGAAAAAAAATAAGGTATATGTAAGGGAAGCAAGAAATGCTAGAGATGTATTTTCTGACCTGACTATTGGCAGGACTCATCTGACACATAGCCATCTGAGAGCAGGAAGGTCATCCACTGAGAGAGAAGCATACAGGATTGTAACTAGAACGTAACTTACTAACTATACAAATGCGGAAAAGAACAAATTCCGTTGAGCATGATGCTGATAAACATTGCTTCAAGTTTGATCGCTTATTTAAATGACGTTCTTCAAATACATCTTGGAGTGATAGATTTATGAATACAGAGAAGAGTATAAAAGCAAACATACATTCAGATGACAGATTGACACACATTTATAGGCTGGAGCCTGGTTTTTGGGCCCCCTTAGTACAGATCCATCTGCTACAACCTTGATGTCAGGGACCAAAATATGAAAACACTGGGACGAAACGTGATGTTTAAATGCAAAAATCCTCCTGTAATTCTATCATGTCTTTGGGAGTCCATCGCTTTAAGGGTTTTTGTTTTTGTTTTTGTTTTTGTTTTGTTTTTGTTTGTTTGAGAACAATATCTACCGCCTGTGATCTGGGTTCTGGATTTATCTTCCCATTCTTAATTCATTGACGGTTTCCTGGTCTCCTGTCATTCTAAGTCAATAGCAATTAAATGGATTACTCTCTCCAAAGGGTGGTCCGGATGTTAAGCCTCTGAGAGTTTGGTGTAAGGGATCCAGTGTCTTATATTTATATAGTGCTTTGCAGGACTGGAAAACGCATTTCTGTGTGTTCTGGATGTGCCTTGTTCTACCTTGTTAGATAGAGTAAGTTAGAGATGCCAGACATTTCTTCTGCCAAACTGTCAACCTTCTACTCCGCATGGCTTTTGGGGAAGTCATCCTCCCTCTCCTGCCCGAAGGGGAAAATCATTCTGCCTCAGGGTTCTTCTCTCCCTCCACCAGCCACGGGTGATTAGAGAGAACCCAGGCTCTCAGCTGAGTCCGTCGGAATCTCTCATTGATGTGACGTTGGCTTGGGAACTGAGAAGACTCCTGGGGGGAACCATGGAAGGCCGTGTGTAAACAAGACAGAGAGGAGTGAAGCAGGTGCCAGAGGAGAAGTCAAGGCCTGAGGCCACGTGGGTCCGCGTGGGGGATGGACCGCGTCACCGGTCTCCTTCCTGATCTGCTTCCGGTGCGCCCTCCCCTCCGGCTGTACTTCTGCTTAAGCCCCAGAAACTTGCCTTT